TCAGAAGATGCAGAGGAGGAAGGAAAAAAAAAACGAAAATGGCTTAGACGGCTTGGCTAACGCGGCTCAACAACCCAGCCAGTGGCCAAAAGGCTTATGAATAGTGCCATCAAACTCACTCTTTTTATAGTGTAGGAAATGGACATAATATCAAGATCTGCACACGTTCCTCCGGGGCATAGTCGAGGAGCATTATTTTGAGGGACTATCTTTCGATATTCGGATATACCTGTGAAACATTTATGTGTATACTCATCTCCACTGAACTAGCTAGAAGATATCGCTTCGGGTCAAAACATTAAAAGAAAAGGACCGGGAAACATATCGAGATCGAATTTACTGGAGAAGTGAAAGTCCCTGTTGCAGAAGTAGTAAAAACATCCTGCAGAATTGATGGTTTTGAAACGAAAAGGTCTCGTTTTTCACTAATGCAAAAATTGAAATCCAGTAATCTGACATTTCCACAACCAACCAGACAAGGTTGATAACGAGAAGCAATTGTATTACAGCAACAAGCCATTATATAATTCTTGGAAGTCATACAAAACGAAACATAACTAAAAGCAGCAGTGAAACGGTTCTTGAAAACAACGGAGAATACAGATATTAAGAGGCATCGGCAGCAGGTTGGGTCACTCCAAACTTCACTAACAACTTACTCAAGGCCACTGATGAGCAGACCTGATACTTCACTTTTCCATTAGAAAGGAACACCTCAGCCAATTCGAGTTTCTCCGAAGTAAGACTAGTGCTGTCCATTGTCTTACTGAGTACCTTCAGAGCAAGTTGAACGGCCTCTTCCCTCGTGATTTCATCCTTGTAGTCCTGCTTAAGCATTGATTGAGCTGCCTGATTGTTTGATCCAATTGCTGCAGCCTTCCAACCACTGTAATTTCCACTTGGGTCACTCATGTAGAGCTGGAACCCATAATTTTTATCCCAGCCTGCAAAAAGGAAAGAGACGCCAGCTGGACGGCGCCCGCCAAGCTGAGTGTAGCCTTGCTTGGTGTCGCACAAAGCCTGAACTAG